GGCGCGATGCCTCACCAATTGGGGATACTGCACGAAGGGGTATGAAATCCACATGGCCTACATCATGCTCACACATAGCTGACCTAGCCACAACTACAGACAATACCACACTTCCAGCAACAACATACAACAAGGACAGCGCGCGTTCAGAGCTGGTAGACAACGGCGACGACGGCATCCTCCTCCCCTTCGCTCTCGATCCCAACCCTGCGCCCGGTCCATCCCCGCTCGGCCGACCTATCAGCAGATTCAATGACCGAACGCTGGGAGCCAAACCGACCGGAAGCGGTGACAGCAAGAGCGGGCGCGATTACTTTAGTAGGCCCACTGGCGATCATCGCGAGAAGCTGAAGGAGAATGGCTCTCGAGAAGCCTCCAAAGAGAGACGCCAGACGCAAACACAGAGCCCGCACATCGCCTTCCAAGAGAAAGGCAGGCAGCCTTCGGATACACTGGTCGAGACACTTAGGAAGAAGAAGGACATATCCAACGAATCTCCTGCCGCTGAGCCTCGGTCAAGGAGTCAGCACGCTTCTCCCGCCCCTTCAGGTCCAGAACCCTTCAAACTACAGGATGTACCCAAGAACAAGAAGGCGGAGGCCAAACGCAAGGACTCCGACGACACGCCATCACCGCAACCGCAGCAACAGCAACAGCAGCAGCCGTCTTCTTCCAAGAACGACATCATGTCTGCGCGGCTGAGTCGTCCCCTCATCGAGCCAACCTTCACTAGCTCACCACCACTTGGCTCGCAAGATTCACCGCAGACCTCAGAATCGTCGTTCGGTTCCAATCTTCCGCTAGAAAGACCTGCGCGTGGTGATTCGCTCAAGGCTTCAACCCTCAAGCCTTCAGCCCCGATCTCACGAAACGAGAGGGCCCCATCACCCACCACACCGACTCTAAGCCATCCAGAGCGAACATCATCTACCAACACAGCCAGTGCGAACCTCAACGCCGGACTTGGCATACTCAGTCCTTCGGATTCGCCAGCCTCCAAAACTCCATCGGACCCTCCAGTTCTCCCCGCACGTTCAGGTGGACGGCCAGCCCCGCCCTCGACCGACACTTTCACATCTCCACGCGCACCCCCGCAACCACCTGCCATTCAGCAACACAAGACGAGCGACTCCATCAGCAGTGCCCAAAGCGAAGCATCCCGAGATGCATATGGAGCTGGTGGCCTTCCTCGATATAGCGCCCAGGGCGATTTCTCCATGGATGAGGATTTCGCGCGTTTGCTTGGAAGCCAGGATGGAAGAGATGAAAAAGACAACGGGGTGTTCAGGAGAGTTTCGAACGCTGTGTCCAAGCATGGGCGCAGTTTCAGTGATCGTGGTTCAGTCACATCACGAGGTCACAAAAAATGGCCTACGAACGGCTCCATCGACATTAGCAGCCCGACAGTTGCCTCGCCCGACACTAAAGAGGAAGGCGTCAACCTGCGCAACGAGCTGCGCCGCGCCCAGCAGCGGATCGCTGAGCTGGAGGCCGAGAAGAACGGCCTACAAGAATCGATGCATAGTGCGGCCGACATCAGACAGGCAAACACGGTTCTGCGAGAGAAGCGAAACACCATGGCTGTCTTGGATACGCAACGTGAGATGGTGATCCGCGAGCTTGAAATCATGACTGAACACCTCAAGCACGCTAAGAGCGGCCAGGGCAATGTTGAGATCGGTCAGCTCAAGTCAGACATTCTCAAAGACTTTGCAAACTCGTTGCAGAAGCTCAAAGACAATCTGGGAAATCAAATAGAGGACCTGATCACGAAGAGATCGGAGTTGACGGAGGAGATCTCGAACCTCATTCAGATGAAAGACAAGGGTTTCCAAGAGTACGAATCGCTCACGGCCGCTAACACTAGACTTTCCGCCATGAACAGGGACCTGGTAGACAACATCCAGACCAACCTCAAAAACAACAAGAAGAGTGGACAGAACCTTGATGTTGCTGCCAATGGCCTTGGCATATACAACGCGCAGCACAAGGGCGGCAAATCAGAAGTATCCGTGGATGCACCAGTAATACCGCATGATCACTCCTATGCCAATCTCGACGATGGCGAGGCGACCGTCGCGCAGCCGCAAGTCGTTAACATTAGGAAGACCGGAAAACCCACCAAATTCTCTACCTGGAAGAAGGGCGGACAAGCCATTACAAAGAACGTCACCAAGGGCTTCAAGGGAGCATTCGGTTCAGAGCAGAAGCAGGAGGACTACAACGTCAAGGTCATTGGCACTCCTTACGGCTCTGTGCACTCTGGGCCCGACATTGCAGCCATGTCCATGTCGAGTTCCATCAAAAGCCGGGATACCATGGACCAAGGAACCCCGCGAGGCTGGTTCGGTGGAAAGCCTGGCAACGTTAGACCAGGCGGCCCGCCCCAAGGCTTTAGGCCCATGCAGAACATCAACAACAGCACCACTAATCTGGCTGCCGCCGACGCCAGTACCGTGCTATTCGGGTCTGACCTGACAGCACGATGCGAGTTTGAACGACAGATGATTCCACGCATCGTCAGCAGATGTATCGAAGAGGTCGAGCTTCGCGGCATGGACGTGGAAGGTATCTATCGTAAAAGCGGCGGTACCTCTCAGGTGAACCAAGTGCGCAGTGGCTTCGAGACGGACACCGAGCACGACATCTCGGACCCAGATCTCGACATTCACTCCGTCACTTCTGCGCTGAAGAACTACTTCCGCAGGCTCCCTGTGCCGCTGATCACATACGATGTCTATGATCAGTTCCTTGAAGCTGGCCGTAAGTTCATACTATCCGACAGCAGATCAAGTGCTAATGATTGTACAGAACTTGAAGAGCCGACTGCTCAGTCAAGAGCTTTGTCTGCCGCTGTGAACGAAATTCCCAAGGCTCATCGTGATACCTTGCAATTCCTCGTGTTCCATCTGTCGCGGGTCATACAGCACGCCAGTGACAATTTGGTAAGTACACACAATAGATGTTTGACGTGTACTATGACTAATACGTGAATAGATGACACCACTCAATGTCGCTGTCGTTTTCGCGCCAACCATCATGCGGCCTATGGACATCCAGCGCGAACTCACCGACGTGCAACAGCAGCGTGTCGCCGTGCAAGCGCTTCTGGAAAACTACAAAACAGTTTTCGGTGATGAATAAAGTGAGCGCAACGCCCACAAAAACTCGCAAGGGCAATCGAAGGCGCCCAAAATTTCTGTTATATCGTTTCCATTCTTCAACATGTGTATCTACAGCGGGCGTTACGGGCCCGATCTCCAAGAGCTTGTTTGTCCTTGTCGTCGTGTATCATACGAATCTGCACACAGTTTTGGATCTTATCTGTATCGAGGTCCGTGAGGCGTGTATCGATGGCTACGATGGAGATTGTGTTTATACCCTTGGGGCTTTTTGCTTGGTCATCTAAGCGAAGTCAGCGATATATAATGAATTCTTGAGACTGTTGTTCTTGTATTCATTCGGTCCAGATCATTCACATGCTCCACATGGATGTGCTGTTCCTGTGCTTGGCGCTTTCGCTACGTCGCCGCTAACGCGCTCAGGATGACGTCGGTCACCGCCCACTAAGCGAACTGGCATGTGAGGGAGCCTGTTTCCGGTCTCACACGATCGCCCATTGACTTCGCAGCTTCCCGGTACCCATCGACTGATCTGCAAACCTCACATCAACCCTTGCGACAGCACTTTTTTCACTTCTCTATCCAACCACCACTACCCCTCATACATCATGTCTTACGCAGAGATGGCCGCCAAGGGCCCCAAGCAGAGCCCCGAGGAGGTGAGTTAATGAAGAGCGCTTGCAATGTGTGCCAATGCTAACTTGAAGACAGGCGTAAGTCACCCCGTTCATTTGGATGGAGTTTAACCCTCCGACGTCAGCTTTGACGATGCATGACGGCACCCTGTGTTGCATCTTGGTCAAAATACAAGACCTGTGTTCTGGGGCATGAAGCTGCTAGAGTTGTTCTGACGTAGCATTGCAGTCGCGCCCCCGCCCAACCTGAGATCGAGCACGCTTCCGACGACAGCGTACACTCCCTTGTCGATGTAGACAGCCCACATATCTCCTCGGTTCCCTCTGACTACGAGTCGCAATCCGTCAAGACCGACACGCAAGCCGAGCGCATGGAGCGTGAAGAGGAAATCAAGGAAGAGGCCAAGCACATCAAGGACCGCGCTGCGGCAAAGAAGGAGGCAGCTAAGGACAAGATGAAGAAGAACGCCGACAACCCGGTCGTGCTGAGCAACGCAGTTGGTCTTGCCGTTGTCGGTGGCATCGTTGGATTCGGCGCATACAGGCAGTATGCCCGCGGCGAGCTGACCGGCAAGGTCGTCGCGGCCTGGGCTGCTGTCATTGGACTGTTCGGCGTTGGAGACTACTACGTCAGCCAGTACGTTGTCCAAATAGAAGTGCTCTGATGGCACGTGTGCTAACATTCGCAACAGGTACTTCTTCAAGCGCAACCCCCCTAAATAGACGTGCTGCCTGATCGCTTTGTTCAAATTTGCACTCTACTTCAATAGCACCTCGTACGACGGAATCATGCTGAAATCTTGATCATCTGGACTGTACCGATTTGGCTATGTTGTCTTCTTCTTTTCCGCGGTACCATACAGCAAGCAAGGGGTTCTCTACTCGGTTTCGGTCTTGAGGCGAGATGCCTTCATGAGTCCACTTCTGTATATATGAGGTCACGTTCAATATACCCGTTCTGACATCATCTTGACCATATACAAGCCATTCATATTACGCATGAAATTTTGAACGATTCGCGACTGCGTCCTGATTATCATGTCGGATGTACTTGGGATGATGCCCAGAATTCTCGGAAGTTCCACCACGTGATCCGAGTTCTCCAGCCACGCAGATCCCTGCTCCTTCCGCTTAGAAATGCAGGTCCCATAACTTTTACGTAGTGACGACACTTCCGTGTACCGTTGACATCCGCCACGTCTCTCTCTTTGCATCTCTTTCCTGTTTCACATCTTTTAGCATCATGTTCCGTGCAGCCCCACGGTTAATTGCGCGTCCAGCGCTGCGAGCCGCGCCACTACGGGCTGTCGCGCCGGCCAGGCGGTACTTGAGCACCGCACCACCATCACAAAAGTCGAGAAGTTTCAAGAGCTTGGTTGCTAGGCTGGGTGTTGCCGGAGCAATTATATACTATTACAACACCACGGATGTTTTCGCAGAGGAGCCAAGACGTATGTTCAGACGCCAATGGACGGACGAATTGAACCAGAGTAGCTGATCCTGCCTCAGAACTTGTCCAACCCCTCCCAGAAACCGAAGTTGAATCCGAGCACCTCCCCACCATCGAATCCATCTCCGAAGAGCGCAAGCGACGACAAGCAGTACAGGCACAACTCGAGGCCCAGAAGCAAAAAGAGGCTGAGCGCGCACAACAGAATGCGAAGCCTTCAGAAGATGGCCAGGGTGGCATAGAAGGACTCGAGGAAGAGGCAGACCAACAGGGCGCATTCAACCCGGAAACAGGCGAGATCAATTGGGATTGCCCATGTCTAGGAGGCATGGCTCATGGCCCTTGTGGTGAGCAGTTCAAGGCGGCATTCAGCTGCTTCGTGTACTCCACCGAGGAGCCCAAGGGCATGGACTGCATCGATAAGTTCAAGTACGTCCACACTAGACAGCAGAGCCGTAACAGGCCTGCACAGTTTACGTTTGAACAAATAGCTGACAAAACTCAGGGACATGCAAAACTGTTTCCGCGAATACCCCGAAGTCTACGGCTCAGAGCTAGATGCCGACGCCGACGACGAAGACGACATGACCGCCTCGCCCGAAAACCCATCCAACCCCTCCAGCGCGCAACAAGACTCCTCATTACAACCCTCCACCAACGACCACGCCGCCTCAGCCAAGGGAAAGTTCTCTGGTGAACGCAACTCGAAACCCCACACACCAGAAAACAGCCTAGTTCCTGAGGAATACAAGCCAAACGCCAAACACAACCCCGTCAACGACGCAAGGGGGGACATGAGCAGCTTGGATAGCGAGAAGGAGAAGGAGAAGAGCAAGCAGAAGCCAAAGGGCGAGAGCGACACCGAGAGGGCGAATAAGGCGAGGGCGCAGGTCAAGAGCCAGGAGCCTGTTAGCGAGAGTGAGAGTATGGTGCCCAAGGCTAGTCATGATGCGAAGTGATAGGGGAACAGGAAAGCTGGAGAGGAAGTAGAGAAGTTCTGAGAGACGAGTGATGTATGAGGAGATGATGGCATTGTATTATATAGTTACGTGTACAGCATGTTTGAAGAACTAAGGGGGGCATTTAGACAGTGGTGTTCAACGCTTCTCTGCTACTGACGAAAATCATGTACAGTATATATAGTTTCAACCAAACGTTCAAGCAACATGCACATCTAAAGGATCTTCTGCTGAGACATCAGGCGACGTTCACATCAAAGATTCTGGCTCTAAGAAATGAGATTGCAATCGTTCTTGATAATAGAAACTACTTGTACAGCAGGCACTCCCGCCTACCAGAAAAGAAAAAACTTGAACACATCGGACCATTTGTAGCATAATCTTAGTTCCGAATAAGCGTAGGTACCAACTCATTGTACGCCAGAAAACACCCCTTTGAGAGCAACAACCACATATCCCCAAGTCGATTCAGCGCATCATGCTATCCTGACGTTTGTGGTCTTCACCGTGTCCGTTGTGAGGCTTACAATCGACACGTGAGTCACACTGTCCCAAGTCCTCACTACCAATGGCACCTGTCTGTTCTTCCTTTGTTTCAATGCGATAATAAGGAAGCGTCTCATACGCACACCCTGGCCTTAACTCAGAGGACCACATCTTGAACACGTCGCGCGCGCTAAGATGTCTCTAAATCTCTACTTTGCTGTAGCCCTCTGCGCCCTCGGCAAGGGGCTGAGCAACACCAGCGTCGACGCTGTCGCGCTTGACGCCCATGCTGTCCTCGCCCTTGCCTACGCCGAACATGCGCATGGCTTCCGTTAGTGCCTGAACGGCATCTTCGTTGCTCATGCTGCCAGGGAGCCCCTGCCCGCCCATGGAGCTGCTGATGCGCTTGGTAGCGTCTTCGAGTGCGCGGACTCTCCTCTGGAAGTTGAGGCGGTCCATGAAAAGCTGCTGGCGGCGGCGTTGCAGATCGCGACGTTCGGCGGAAAGGAGCTTTTCGAAGTCGTTGAAGTGAGCGAGCTTGAGCTGTAGCTTTTGTAGCTGGAGGTTTACGGCACCGGAGACGAGACGGGTGATGTGGCGTTCTTCGTGCGAGGCTAGTGCTGAAGAACGGGCTGCGGAGAGGGCGAAGGGGAGGGTGGCTAGAGGGTTGGGGTTGGAGGACGAGTCGGATTCCCGTGTGGCTACGGCAGTGGACTCGGCAGAGGGGTCGACGTCCATAGCGTCGCCGCCTTCTGGCTTCATGTCTGAGGCGGTCGCTGCGGGTGTAGACTGCTCGCCTTCCTTCTCTTTGCCCTTTTCTGACGGTGCGGTTGGGGCTTTGTTGATCTTCTCTTGAAGGATGCGCTTCATCTCGCCGACACTGCGCCCCGACGCTACCGCTGCCTCTGTGACGTTTGCGGGAGCAAGACCAGCTAGGAAGCTGACGACGCTGAGAATCGGGTTGTCGGCGTGGTGGATGGGTACACGGCCCTCGCTGAGGTACTCCAGATCGCGCAAGAATTTGGTTGAAGGAGCTGCCGATTGTGACTCTGGTAGATCCGCCTCGATGTACTTGTCCTCAATCTCGAGCTGCAGGAACTTCATCACGCACTGCTCGCGTGTCTTCGTCTGGACGTGGTCGGCGACACGGTTCCAGTCATCGTCAAACTCCTCCAAGCCCTCGAGTAGCAAAAGAGTCTCCTCTTCCGTCCACTTCTCTTCCGTCTCGGCCGCTGCTGAGTTCTCCGGGTTGGAGATCTTTGTGAAGTCGGCTGAGGATGTGCCTTGCGGGAAGTTGCCCTCTACAAAACACCTGGGGCAAAGGTCGCGCTTCAAGCCACCAGCAGCCTTGATCTGGCCAGTCTGCTCGGAAGGTTTCGTTTCATGAAAATGTACACGGGTACATTCGACGCCGCAACTGAAGCAGTTGATGACCTTGGTTGGCTCCTTTGCAGCGGCTTCGAGATCCTTGACGTCTACCGAGCCGTTGGCGGCACCTTCGCCATTAGCAGCTTTTGGCTCCACGGATGCTTCTTTGCCATTGGCCTCGTAGATGTTTCGTCCAGCTAAAGACTTGGTCTCGCTCTTTGCCGTCGGTTGCTGGCTCGCAGCACGGTCAGTGGCTGTGAGCTGCTTTCCGTCCGTGACTTTCGAGCCTGGTCCTGGTTGGAAAGGTTGCAGTCCGCGGGGCGTATCGACTGTGACACGGAAATGGCCGGTGAATGGAGGACCAATGTTCGATGGGCGTTCTTGAGGGTCGACCTGGTTGATATGTTAATCACGACTCAATGTAATTATATAGCGGCAAGATTTACTTGGTAGTTGATCAATCCCCACTGCTCGAGGAAAGCGTGCACGCGCATGATAGCACAGACATCTCCTGCAAGATTCCTTCGGCATGCGGTAACTGTGAGGTACTCGGATGGGTTCAGGCGGTATGTGTTGATCATGAAATCGCGGTAATCGCGGTACACGGCCGGTGTTTTGCTGCGGTTGCGACCGTTGAAGAACTCGGGCAGGGCTTTGCGCTCGCGGTAGTCGATGTAGCGCATGTCAAACCAGGTTGCGTAGCTCGGGATGATGGTCGCATATGTTTGAGTAACAAAGTGTGAACGCGCTGCTGACTGCAAATCGGCTTTTGCTTGCGCCTCTGGGTCAGCAGCTTCACCACCCTCGCCGTTCTCCTTTTTCGCATCGTCGACGCCGCCCATCTCTTCGTCATCCTGGCCATCGGCGTCTTCCGCTTCCGGTCTTGGGCCATCGGGTGCGTCGAGAGGGTTATCTGATGCAGCTGTGGGCGTGGCAGTAGCAGGATCGTTGGAAGACTCCTTGCCGGGTGCGTCTTCGAGCATGCTGGTATCTACGGAACTTAGCGGACTGTCGACTTGGAGGTTTTTCAAGGTCGGTGATTGGAACATGCGATCCAAGTCGGCAAGATCCAGTGCACCTAGGAGCTCGTCGTCATGGAATAGGTCGTCCATGGTGTTGACGCGACTGGCGGTGGGTATGGTGATGATTGGAATCAGGATGCGACCTACCTTGATCGAGCGCATTGGTGTCTGTGGCACCTTCACCAGTGAGACTTGGGTCCTGCGCAGTTGCGCTTGCTGTCGCGTCGTCGGCCATGGCTCGGGGAGTGTTGTGCGATGCGACAGAGCTGGAAGGCGCTATGCGGCGATGCAAAGGGGAAGTCGCGGGCGCGAGTACTCGGAGCGATTGCGCGATCGCAACGTGTCTTTTTCAACGTGCTGCCGCGTGGTCGTTGTTGAATGAAGGTGGGGATGGGGGGCTGCGATGGGTGGGTTGGAGTCGCGTCTGAAGTTCGCGATGCTCTCGAACGCCTAAGCAAAAAGAGCACTAAGGAGCATGGAGTAGTCTCACGTGATCAGCCTGCAGCCCCGATGCAGATGCAAGGCTAGTGCCGGATAACTAACCTGGCCAAACCGAGGTCATAGTTCTCCGCGCCGTAGGGTTGCTTTCACTACTGCTGGACGAGGCGTTCTACTCCATCTTCCCGAATTTTGCGTGTCTGTGATTTCGAGAGGCATCGCACCGTTTCCGCCCACCATGTTCTCCGCCGCTCGTCAATCCGCCCTCCGCACAGCTCGCACACGGCTTCGGCAGTCGCAACCCACGGCCGTACCCCAATACTCCGCCTTCGCACGGTTAGCGTCGACGTTTGCCATTCTCGAGCAGAAGGAAGGAAAGATCGTGTCACAGTCATTGGCTGCCATCACAGCAGGGACAAAGCTTGGAGGCTCAATAACAGCCTTCATTGTTGGAAGTGGGGTCAAGTCGGCCGCAGATGAGGCAGCCAAGTCAAAGGGCGTAGAGAAAGTCATCTACGTCGAGAATGGAGCGTACGACAGGGTTGGTAGTCTAAAGAGATATGGAATGACACGCGGCTGACAACATCTTGCAGTGTCTCCCCGAGAACTATGCGCCACTCCTGGTTGAGAACATCAAGAAGGGTGGATACACACATGTCGTCGCCGGTCACTCAGCATTTGGAAAGAACATAATGCCGCGTGTCTCGGCACTTCTGGACACACAGCAAATATCAGACATTACCGGCATCGAGAGCGAGGACAGTGAGTGGGCATCTTTTGGAGTACACGAGGGGTTGTTAACCAGACTACAGCATTTGTTCGCCCAATCTACGCCGGTAATGCGATCATGACCGTCCAGTCGTCCGACAGCACCAAAGTCATCACCGTCCGAGGCACCGCATTCCCCGCGCCTGAGACCGAAGGCGGAAACGCAACAGTAGAGGAGGGCGTCGACCCCAAGGCCGAATGCTCAACAGAGTGGATATCTGAGGACCTCCAAAAGTCCGACCGTCCCGATCTCGGCTCTGCAGAGAAGGTCGTCTCCGGAGGTCGTGGTCTGAAATCAAAGGAGGAGTTTGACAAGCTCATGCCACCGCTAGCAGACGCGCTCGGTGCCGCTATTGGTGCGTCAAGAGCAGCAGTCGACAGTGGCTTTGCAGACAACAGCTTGCAAGTGGGTCAGACTGGAAAGAACGTTGCGCCACAATTATACCTGTGTGCTGGTATCTCTGGTGCTATTCAGCATTTGGCTGGTATGAAGGACAGCAAGGTTATTGCAGCCATCAACAAGGATGCCGAGGCACCCATCTTCCAGGTCGCGGATGTTGGTCTTGTTGGAGATCTTTTCGAAAAGGTCCCAGAATTGACCGAGAAGCTCAAGTCGCAATAAGCACTGAGCGCATTGATACCTGTTGTATATAGTTTGAACAATATATCGACCAAACAAGGAATACAACTGCCACGAAGTCAACTACTAGGAGACAGCCTAATGTCACGCTGCGGAAGACGTTAGGGCATGCCTATAGGCTTATTAATTACTAGTCTACTTAATTTAATTTTCTTATTATTCTACTCTTAAACTCTAACTAAAATATATCTTACTTAATCTTTAAACTTTTCTTAACTTTAGCTTCTAATATTAATAAGAAAGTTATTATTACTAGTAGTAGTAGTTTAAGTAAGAACTCTTTTATAAAGTTATTTAAAAGTATTATATTTACTTTAAGTAAAAAATTTAATATTAGTACTAAAGCTTATATTACTATAAATAAAATTAGCTACTACTATAAAGTAAAAATTTACTTATAAATTTACTTTTCTAAAGTAATTATAAGTAGCTTTAAAAAGTATAGTAAGATTAGTAAACTTCTACTACTTAATATAAAAGTTATTAATAAAATAAGTAGTATATATTAAGTAACTAAAGTATACTTATAATATTAAGCTTACTTATTAAGAGATAAAAGTAGTTACTATCTTAAAGTATATAAATAAAGATAAGTATAAAAGAATTAACATACTAGTATAAAGATTTTATAATTTTATCTTTTTTAAGTATTAGTAGTATATAACTATAATAGTATACTTTAGTTATTAAGTTAAGATTTTTTAAATTTCTATAGTTAAGATACTAAAGCTAAGGCTTACTTAGACACGTGATAATACTAGAAGACATCCTAGTACTTTCTCAAAATTATCAAAGATCGCGGCATGAAGCACACAAGCCCATCCTATGCTTTCCAAAGAATCTCTAACTGCACGTGGAACATTAACCTTTTGATCTCCAAGTAACCCCGGCATTCGCAGCTTGGCGTGCGTCAACGGCTGATCGACGCCAGCACCCACCATTCGTCTCCACTGCGCCGCGATAGCCGAGTCATCGAATCTGGCAATCTTGCTGGAGACTTGCTGAAACGCGCGGCTATGAACTCGCTGCTGAAGTCAGACTCTGACTTCCGACTTCTGCGTTACCTTCCGTGTCTCCTCCCAACTGTAGACGCGTTCACATTCCCAGCACCACCGCTTCCGCTCTAGCGCCAGTTTCTCAGCAACTAGTCACACGCGTATATCCGTGCCCGACATATTGATCGCCGTTTCGCACCTTCTCGAGTTTTGCAGTGGAGGACGAGCCTGAGGATACTTCGCGTTCTGAACTATTGTTATCATTTCTGGGTTTATCAAAGGCCCAGCTAACTGTCTGGGGTTACGATGTCTGATGCCGGATCGCTCCGATGATGGCGCGTGAACATGAGGAACCGGGGCAGCCGAGCACGTCGGAACAATATAACGCCCAGGGAGAAGAAGAGCAAAGAAAAGAGCAGTTGACACGGAAAGACAATAAGAAGAAGAGATGGTGGAATGTCTGGAAGAAATGGGAAGGGCAGGATAGCGATTGGTGGTTCGCGAGCACCGGCATTCCCGTAAGTGATGATTCGCACTGAAATGTGTTCACAAGAAGTTCATATGGCTCTTAACCTCCAAATCGACTCGACGAAGTACGTTGTTCAGATGCTAACACCAAATAAGCTCCTCGCTGCAACTCTCGGCCCCCTAGCAAATGTGAGCTCAATCGCCGCACTCGTAACTCCCTGGAGACAGCAAAACATCATCAACGGCGAACGAATCTCAGACTTCAAAGGCGTACCTTTTGGCGACCCGAGATGGTGCTACTGGATCAATGTAGCATCACTGATCTGCGGCTTTCTCGGCAATCTCTTCCTTCTTCTGAACTTTACGCAGAGAATTCGTTACATCATTGCCCTACCCGTCACTGTGGTTCTGTGGTATCTTTCATCTGCTTTCCTCATAGCGATAACGATATGTATGAACACTTACGAACCGCCCATCCGACCGGAACAAGGATATACCCAAGGATTTTGGTACGCGATTGCGGCTGCGGCGTTTTACACCATCTGCTCTATGCTTCTCATGGTCAATATGCTGGGCTTCTTTCTTGGCCACTACCCCGAAAACTTTGCCTTGAGCGACAGTCAAAGGACGCTTATTCTACAGACCATGGCCTTCTTCATCTGGCTAGCCGGTGGCGCAGCTGTCTTTGCGAAACTCGAGCAAGATGCTGGAGAAGACAGTTGGAGGTTTGCCGATGCCTTGTACTTCTGCGACGTCACTATCCTAACCGTTGGATTTGGCGACCTAGTGCCTACGACCGATGTGACTAGGGGTATTGTCTTTCCTTACTCTGTTGGCGGCACGATTACGCTAGCCCTCATCGTCTCATCGCTCTACACGGCAGTTCGCGAGCTCGGCGACGAGAAGATTGTTCAGAAGCATGTCGATCGCATGCGCGAACGAGTCGCAGAGCGTACAGTTACCAACTCATTTGATCTCCGTCATCGAGAACGAGAGGCACACCACCTTGTTCGGAAACGTAAACTTGGCATTCCAAAGATATCAGGACCTAGTCAACCACGGCCCTTTCGAACCCCCATGGGCGAGTCTGTCCAGCATACATCCACTATGCAGGGTGTCGCCGATGCGCTGCATATAGGTTCCTCTAAGCCCAAGATCATGTTGTTGAAAGAAGAGAAGGATCGCTTTGAAGCGATGCGCAAGATCCAAGCCGACTCGAAGAAGTTCAAGCAGTGGATGGCGCTTTTCTGGTCCATCACTACTTTCTCGATCCTTTGGTGTGTGGGTGCAGTCGTTTTCTGGATCACCGAACAAGAAACACAGCACTTGACTTACTTCCAGTCGCTTTACTTCTGTTATGTCAGTCTATTAACAATCGGCTACGGTGACCTGGCACCGAGATCCAATTCCGGGCGCTGTTTCTTCGTCATCTGGAGCTTGATTGCCGTTCCGACCATGACTATCCTAGTCTCGGATCTAGGCGACACTGTCGTGGCCAACTTCAAGAAATGGAGTGACGAGCTCGCGGATTTTACAGTACTGCCCAAGGCAGGTATTTGGCGTTCGTTTCTGGACAAACACCCTTGGCTGCTGCAATGGTTACAGCGATGGACAGACAAGCGAGCGAGAAAGAAGCGACTGATAAGGGGCTTCGACATCTCGGATCCACGATCTGACGATGGCATTGTAGATTCTTCCGACCCGCAAGACAGAGAGAGTATTTCGAACGACCCGGAAGATCGCGAAGCAGCAACCGATATAGAACTGACTCTCCACCCGACCGTCCCAGCCCTCGCCTCCGAAGCCGACGCCGACATCACCAGCCCTCCCTCTCAGGCTTCATTGACCCGCCGCCTCGCCCTGTCCATTCAAAAGGTTTCTCTCGACCTCAAGACCAACGACAAGCGCTACACATACGAAGAATGGGTCGAGTTCACACGGCTCATCCGTCTGACGAGTCCAGAGCGTTTAGACCGCAATGTAGACAACGACAACATGGTTTCTGAAGACGAGAATGAAGAGGGGTTAGTGAATTGGGATTGGATCGGGGATGATAGTCCCATGGTGTCTGGTATCAGTGAGAGCGAGTGGCTTATGAAGCGGCTGATTGAGAGTCTGGTGAGGTTGGAGAAGAGGAAGGAGGGGGCGAGACGGAGGTCTGATGTTGAGGCTTTAAGGGAGATGGAGTGTGGGAGGAGTGTGGGGAGTCGACAGGATAGCATTGGGGGTCAGTAGGTATGGCGCAATCAACCCATTCTTGTCGAAATGTTCACCGATAGCGAGGTGGACCTCTGTTGGGACATTTGGGCCTAGAATGGGAGGTCTTCTTATAGAAGTCTCATTGCTGATAGTACTGGGGGGTGGGCATTGAGTTCTATCGCCTTGTTTTTCAACAAGATGTCGCTGAATAAAGAATCGCTTGCTTGCAAAGGTAAGCAGAGGATCTCAGGTATCGTAGTGTGTGCTTCGAAGTGGGACTAGCGCACTGCATGGCCAATTCCCTCTCAGGCGCCTTCGCCGCAACCTGCACAGGATCGGGCAGGCATGCACAGTGATGTGGTGTATTAACATATGGAGTACAGAATATCGTACCTTCCTTGGCCTCTTTGATTTTAGGCAGCAAGGTTTCGTCACTCTGTCATCCTTGCAGCCATCCTTAGCACATGTCTTGGCCATGGTCATTTCCTAATCTGGTATGCTCGCGCATTCTCACTGGTCCGCTCGCAAAATCACGTGCACGATCGGACATGCCTACCTACTCAGGTAGGTATGCCAGCTACGAGGTCGTCAAAAAAGCAGATCGATGAGCATCCCGGTCACATGCTGTCGCAATCGAAGGCGTCTGCTATCAATTTGAAAAGCTCAAGGGGAGTCTAAAGGTCTGTCCGTGAAAATGCAAGGGCTGTGCGGAAGGTAGAGGTTTATTAAGGAGTGCTGGTTGATCGGTGGAGTCGGACGTTCAGGCACCGACCACCGTTCGCTCACTCTGAAGAACGCTTGACAACACCCAAAGTGCCCGGGAACTCCAACACCCGCGTGCTCAATTCTCGATATATCTTGGGAAAAGCGTTAGCTCGGCTTTTTCCAGCACCCGATGGCACTTGTTCGCACTGACATCGAGTCTGGGCGTTGAAACACAACAGACGCGCGTTGCCCCTTACGTCTCGCAGGTAGTCGCTCGATTAGGAAGGATGGTGGTGAAGCGAGATATCGTGTGGTTAGCGTATCCTGTGGCTGAGATTCGTAGTGCACTTGGCACGACGAACATTGGCCCCGGTGCAAACGATCGTTCTCAGCTACACTCTCACTCCGAGTTTTGACGGTGTGCGTGTCGAATCGGAACGCGGATTCTGCTTTGTCCGGTGTAACTGGGATACGAAATACGGCAGTCATATCACTAGGCATCAACCTTCTTCCCCCGGTTAAGATGATCGCCTCCTCTACTGTCGAATAATCATTCATCTCACATTTGGACTCTGCCGGTTTCTTACGCTCCTTTGCATTGCACAGCCATGAACTCCAATGTCACTGACGGTCAACCGCCACCCCAGCCGACCGTCGACGCTGGGGTGGAGAGCACTGCTATCGCCACTCAAGTTCTAGAGACAGGACCCGACGAAAAGCACAGCATCATCGAAGATGCAGAGCAAGATGAAAGTACCTCATCGAAGGCAAAGAAAGTCCCGCAAGCGGGCATGAAGAATTACTTCGTGAGTAAATTGGCTTGGATTTTATTCCTGGCTAACGTTCGAGCAGCGAGTATTCTCGTATGGAACTACTCTCGATTACTGGCTCATATTCATGTGTTGCGTTACTTCGATAGCGTCCGGCGTTACCTTTCCTTTGATGAACGTTGTCTTCGGTAGGATCTGATAGCCTGGAATCTATTGGCACCTTGCGCAAGTACTGACAGCACTCAGGTCAATTGGTCGGCTCGTTTACCAACTACTTCATCCCCGGAACGGCCTTGACAGCTGGAGAATTCCAAGCCGAGATCAACAGGCTCACCCTCTTCCTTGTCTACCTGTTCATCGCGAAGTTCGTGTTATCCTACATATCAATGGTACGCACACGATCCCTGAAGAGGCTTCCATCATTCTAACACTGGTATAGCTCACCATCCGAATCAGCGGCCTTCGAATCTCTGCTGCATTGCGTCTAGCATATCTACGAGCTCTTTTCGCACAGCCAATCAGTGTGATAGACACTATAAGTCCTGGCAAAGTGTCTACACGGATTACAACCTCCTCCAATACGGTGCAACTCGCCATATCGCAGCACTTCGCTATACTCTTCCAGTCCCTTGCATTCGTTATCGGAGCGTATGTGGTGGCTTTCATCAAAGGCCCACTGCTCACCGTAGTCGCCTCTGCCTCGCTTCCGTTCATCCTCGTGGTCTTTGGTATCATATTGCCACCTTTCATCCGGATACACAAGATTACCGAGAAACATCATGAAGATGCTTCTGCCATGGCTTTCGAGATGTTCTCATCCGTTCGCATCCTTACTGCATTCGGTGCAGAAGCGAAGTTGGCAAGGCTGCATGAGGCCTTGCTGGACAAAGCTGCGGCGAACGAGCGCAGGGCTGCGCCTCTGATGGGTCTTGTCATGTCACCCATGATGATCGGAATGTATGGCACATTTGCAATTGCGTTCTGGTTCGGGATCAAGCAGTACTCGGAAGGCAAAGGCGACGTCGGAGTCATAGTGGTGGTTCTGTTCTCTGTCATGATGGCGATAACGAACATCAGTAGGGTTGTGAGCCCAATTATTGCCATCGCGAAGGCATCATCTGCCGCCACCGAACTATTCATCACGATCGATGCAACTGTCCCTGATACCACTGGATTGAAGGAGCCTGATGTAACCGCCAACGCAAACATCAGCTTTCACAACGTTGCCTTCTCGTATCCAAGCCGACCACATGTTCAGATCCTTGGAGGCCTTGATCTCGAGCTCGAGGCAGGCAAAGTTACCGCTATTGTCGGTCCATCCGGAAGTGGTAAGCAATTCTTCTTCTACAAATCGTGGGCTCTTTACTGACCACTTGCCTCAACCTATAGGAAAGTCCACTATTGTGGGACTGGTTCAGCGATGGTATGAACTCTCAGGCACAACGGCCGCCGCATCAGATGGGAAACCGAACGACGCATCGCCTCAAGAAGACACGCTTGAAAGCAAGAAAGAAAGCACCCAGAAGTCTGGATGGTTCAAGAAGAAGGCTATACCAAAGCATGAAGGCAAGCAAGCATCTGCGAAGAAGGCTGGAGATGACAAGAGCAAGGACGAGGAGCCTGATTTGGGCCCAAACACTTGCACTGGTACCATCAAGATTGGAGGTACCAAGTTACAAGATGTCGACCTAAAATGGTGGCGCTCTCAAATCGGTCTGGTTCAGCAAGAGCCCTTCCTGTTCAACGACACCCTGTACAACAACATCGCGTTTGGTCTCATTGGTACCCAATATGAAGACTTTCCGAAAGAAGAAAAGATGAAATTGGTCGAAGACGCGTGTCGCGAAGCCTACGCCGAAGAGTTCATCGCCAAACTACCAGAAGGCTACGAAACCATGGTTGGCGAGAGCGGCATCAAGCTTTCGGGTGGACAGCGACAACGAATAGCGATCGCGCGAAGCATCATCAAACAACCACCTATACTGATTCTCGACGAAGCGACGAGCGCTATCGATGTACGTACCGAACGCATTGTTCAGCAAGCTCTCGATCGCGTGTCGAAGAACCGGACGACTATCGTCATCGCGCATCGCCTCTCCACCATCAGGCGCGCGGATAAGATCGTGGTCTTACGTCAAGGTGCTCTCGTGGAACAAGGCACCCACGATGAGCTGTTGAAGATAGAAGCCGGTGTCTACTACGGCTTGGTTCATGCCCAAGAGATCGCAGCGGAAGCGGAACAAGACGCTGATGCCGACCCGCTCGAAAAGGCTAAGAGCGCAGACACTGAGATCCATGAAGACTACAAGCAGAGCACTGATGTCTCCAAATCAGCCGAAGACCCAGAGTATAAGCAGCAAGGTCTCTTTGGCAGCTTCGGGCGTCTTATCTACGAACAACGCGGTCATTGGATCCTATACAGCGTCGCTATTCTGGGTGTACTGGCCAGCGGTGTCGTCTACCCGCTCCAGGCCTACATTTTTGCAAACGTCGTCAATGTTTTCACCCTTCCCATGGACGAACTTGTCAGCAAAGGCAACTTCTGGGCAGGCATGTTTGGTGTTCTGGCTGGGAGCACGTTTCTATCCTACTTTTTCATGGGCTCGGCCTGCCACCTCATCTCTGTTGCCATAACAAAGAACTATCGACAAGAATACCTGGACAACCTCATCCGCAAACGCATTGCCTTCTTCGACGATCAAGGGCACAGCCCTGGGTCTCTTACGTCGACCCTGAGCTCAGACTCGACACAGATTCAGCAGCTAATGGCAACGGAGATGTCCGTTGCGCTCATTGCTATTGTCAATGTTGTGGGCTGCGTTATCATCTCTTTCATCTATGGTTGGAAACTGTCCCTTGTTGCCCTATTTGCCGCGCTACCACTTATCCTGGCTGCTGGATATCTCCGTGTACGCATTGAACTCGAGTTTGACAAGACCAACGCGAAGGTATTCGAGAACAGCAGCCAGTTTGCATCCGAAGCTGTGGGTGCTTTCCGCACAGTATCGAGTCTTATCATGGAAGACATGATTGGCGAGCGCTATGAGACCTTGCTCAAGGGTCATGTCACAGGAGCGTTTTCAAGCGCGAAGTATGGCACTCTTATTTTTGCGGCAAGCGACAGCATTGAACTAGCTTGTATGGCCCTTACTTTCTGGTATGGCGGCACCCTGCTGGCTTCCCGCGAGTACAGTCCTGTAGACTTCTTCGTCATTTACCAAGCCATCGTGCAAGGCGCCATTGGAGCAGGGCAATTCTTCTCATATGCCCCCAATATGGCCCAAGCCACGGGTGCCGCGAACCGCATTCTCAGTATGCGTCCACCAAAGTCTACAACATCCACTGCCTATCCGCCTCTAAGCAAACCCGAAGAAGGCGTAGGCATCGAGTTCCAGAACGTGTATTTCGCCTACAAAACCCGCGAAGTGCCCGTCCTATCCAACCTCAACATCCAGGTCCAACCAGGCCAGTTCGCCGCACTGGTCGGTGCATCCGGGTGCGGCAAATCCACCACCATATCGCTCCTCGAGCGCTTCTACGATGCAACATCCGGCCGCATCCTCTACAACGGGCAAGACATCACCATGCTTGACCCCGCAGAGTACCGCAAGCAAATCAGTCTTGTGAGCCAAGAACCCACGCTGTACGAAGGCACGATACGCGAAAACGTCGCTTTATCCGTCGACACCGCCACAGACGAAGACATCGAGCAAGCATGTCGTGACGCCCAGATCCACGACTTCATCACCTCCCTGCCCGACGGATATGCCCAGCGCCTAGGACCAAAAGGCATGTCGCTGTCTGGTGGTCAGAAACAGCGTCTTAGTCTTGCTCGCGCCTTACTGCGCAAACCGAAGCTTCTCTTGCTAGATGAAGCGACATCGTCTTTGGACTCTGAGTCTGAGAAATTGGTTCAGGATGCTATTGAGCGCGCTGCTGGCGAGGGCGGAAGAACGGTGATTGCAGTCGCGCATCGCCTTGCTACGATTCAGAAGGCGGATACCATCTTTGTTTTGGGTAGTGGCATGGTGTTGGAGAGGGGTGATCACCAGGGGCTGTTGAGGAAACGCGGTGTTTACTGGCAGATGGTGAGTTCTGATCTGACGTTCCGATTCGGGTTGAGATGTGCTAACTTTCGAATAGTGTCAAGCTCAAGCTTTGGACCGATAAGAGTGGTCGTTACTAACTTCGGCATTTATTGCGTTGGCGAAATACATCCTTCGAATGATCTCTCCCCTTTTTCATCATATACATATATCCGAGTGCCTGTACTTTACTCTTTTAATACTATACTTCACTTCACTTCTACAAAAATGTCTTGTTGCCCTTCGGATATGATTGAAAGTGACGCAAATTTTTTATAAACGTGATCATATACGCATGCTGCCGGTTATGTACGCCTTCCTCGTATTTCATATTATCAACCTATCCGCAATCTGCCAACTCCACATCGTAAATCTACTGTTGGCCCATAATTCCTCCCGGTGGGTACTTTGGCTGTCCCTGAGGCCCTAGATCCTCTTCTCCGCTGTCACCTGTCCTAGCTGTAGGCTTCGTCTCGGTAGTAGGAGCTTTGGGTTCGCCTATGCCATCGGGCTTGGGCGGTGATTTTGTGCCTGGCCCACCGCGCTTCTGCCAGTCGAGCCACGAGCCGCGGTATTCGCCAACGTTTGTGTATCTGCCGTGCGGGTTAGCTAATGTTCTACAGCAAGTGTCTTTTGCCCGCTTATCGAACTCTGGGCGTGTGCCAATGAAGAATCCAACTTACCCAGCTTGTCTCGCGATTCCTGCAGCCGCTGAGCTCCTCACTCCAGCCTTGCAAAAGAAGACGACTTCTTTTCCCTTGGGTGGCTTCTGGAAGCCAAACCTATCTTCAAACTCCTCTTCGTCTAGTAGCAGCGCATCGGGTTGTGAGGTGACAGGGATGTTGATAGAGGTGGGTATAGTGTTTGCGTCGAATTCATGGGGTTCGCGGACGTCGATGAGGAGACGTGAGTCTGAGGGCGCTTCGAGGATGTGTAGAACCTGAATGAGTTAGTGGTGCGCTTGAAGGGGTGTACGATGGCATGAGAAAAGCCATTCGCATAGGCTAAGAATGTCATGGGAAATGAAGGCAAGACGTACATCGTCAAATTGGTAGAGTTTGTTCTGCTTCAAGTCGTTGGGGGCCTGTGAATGCCATCTCTTTTGCGCTGGTGACGCTTGTAGTCTCGCCGCACCACCTACAACCACCGTCCTGCTCTGCGAGATGGATGTGTTTTGTGACTTGGGTGCGATGCTGAAAGCGCGTGCAGTGTTGAAGCTCAATCGTGTAGGCTGACGGCCGATGACGGAGGCATTGGAACGGACGCCGAGCAGTTGGGCTGCGCGCTTGGAGGCCATGGCTGGTGTTGGTGTCGCGATGATAATTTGTTGCGGTTCAAAAAAAGCTAAGAAGGCGACTACCGTCTCTAGATTATCAAAGATGTTGTTCGGATAGATAAATACTCAGTGTTCAAGTCGCCGAAGAGAGCTCGGCTCTGGCCAAATTATCGCCGACGTCACTCTTCGCGAACAATTGAGCGCAACCACGCTAAGCCCTACAGCCACAAGTTCGGCAAGCCTGCGGGCGTCATTGCACGCATCGGCTGCACAGTTCCGGAAGTGTCTTAGATTCAAGCTCTCATTTTATTTGGAGTATCGGGCATAAAAGTACATGGATGACACTATGGTTCAAGGGCAACATCCAACAGGGTCGTTATAACGCCAGTAAAAGAACTACAGACAGTGGGGTATTCAACACAAAACAGACCATATAGGGATTGTTCAAACTCCTGTAAATGAGAAACGCTTACTCCTCCTCGTCGCGCTGAACATCCAAACCGCGCAATCGCTGTGATAGTAGACCGGCATTGGGCGGAGCAGACGGGCTGCCGAGCGGCGAGAATGCATTTCCGCCGTAGCCAATGTCGCCTTTACTGAGCTTCTCAAAGGTACCATCGTTTTGACTTTTCGGACTACTCACACCAGCTCGCGGCGAAGTAATGGGTGTTCTGAAGGGGCTCTTCGGATCAACATCCATGCGATCGCGAGACATAGGCCGTGACTCAATTGCAGTGAGCCTGCCGATGGTGAAAGGTATGGGCTGTAATTCCGGCATAGGCGAGTTGAAGCCGCTTGATGCTGAGGAGTTGGTGGTGCCACCAGTGAACTTGACGGCTGGCGGAGGTAATGGGGTGTGCTGCCTCAGTCCATCAAGCTGATCGTACGCCTGCTGAGATTGAGATAGTGGCCATCCAGCGCTGCGTCGACGGAAAGCCTTGTCCGTAGCGGGTTGAGCTCCCGGTAGATGTGTCTTTTGCAGCGATGATGCATCTCGCGTCGGCTTGTACGTGCTGTATCTAGGCTCAGGCTGCTGGATTTCATTCCTCAGCTTTTCTTTGCCGTCTGGTACACGATTCGCAAAAACGACCCGTATGCTTTTGTACAAGTAATGACGACCCTTTGAAGGACAGCATATGTGCAAGTGTATGAGATAACGCAAGATAGGTCGGTCGTTCGGATCGTCTGAGTTGCTGAGGGCAGCCTCTGGACGGTCAGTTCCGAGGTTCTTCCGTGAAGATGCAGGCATATCGATAATGGGTCCAGCAGAGTAGCTGCGCTGTCTGATAAAGGTCTTCTGACCTGGCTCCATATCCGATATGTCATATGGCACGAGGAAGAGCTTCACTGCGGTTTTGTTTGGGTTCTTCAGCACAATCTGGAGCTGCCCCTGCGGTGGTATGCGGTAACATCCCCCCGGAGGTGCCTTGGGAGACGTAGATCGTCGCTTTTTCTTTTCTTTACGACGAAGGTCTCCTTTCAAGCTCTGTCCACTCTCCTCTTCACCAAGATTAATCTTGAAGTCAAGATCGTCTTGTTCGGGGGCTGGCACTGCATGTCGTCGCTTGCGTTTACTAGCTTCGCTGCTTTCGTCTGGCGGTGGCAAAGTGTTTTCCAAGTCAATGTGCCCAACATAAGGGCTCGGCTCATTGTCTGAGATCCTGCCGTTGCCAGTGTTGTAACTGTAAAATACGGCTGGAAAGGGGACTGTGACGTGCGGTGGGCACTTGAGGCTGGACTTGCATTGTCCTTTGCCGAGTACGCCAATCTTGGCGACGAAATCAAGAGGCCGCGATGGCGTAGTAGACATACGCCCACGAAGTATAGACTCCTCGTATGAACCGACCATGGGGGCGTGTTGCAACGGAGATGCTTCCGAGGAAAAGGAGGGGCGTCGAGCGTGTAGGAACGGTGTTTGCGACTGAGATTGAGGCTCAGACTGATTGAACGTCATTGATCGTCGCGGTTGGTGTGCTTGGTATGGCATTGAACCACTGTGGCGGATGTGTCGAGCTGCCGGAGTTCCGGTGGCGGATCGCGCCATTTGGGTGGACTGGTAATCATGAAAGGATGCAGGAGAGTAGGTATGCCGGCGACTATTTCTGTCGGGACTTCGGGACCCTTGCCGCGAGCCTGGCCTGGAAGAAAAGTCCAAGTCTGTGTTGTTTGCTTGCTGAACAAGCGGGCTTGTGGGCGGTAGAAAAGCAAATGAGCTAAACGGTGACTGTGATGACTGCGATATCGCTCGCGCTCGGGCGGGTATTCGGGCATCTGGGTGATGTGACACCGGGTACGAGACGTCATTGCGGTTCGAAGTGTAAGCAGCAGAAGGGAACGAGCGATTCCAAGGCACCACCGGCGAAGTCGCTAGGAAGCCTGAAGTTGAGGAGTCGCTCTCAGACGCCGTGCCCGCTCTCTTTTCTCGAAAGTCTCCAGAGTGTAATGCCGATCGTGGACGCTCGATATCCAGACCTACCGCTGCAGGGTCACGGAGATGTTCCGGGGTGGAGATTCGAGAGGTTTGCAGCTCGGCGGATGAAGATTGAGGTGTAGTCGGTCGGTCTTGCGACGTCGGTCGGGTCGAGGAGTCGCGCTCAGTTACGGAATCGCCCTGTGATACACGATCAGTATTCCTTACATGGATTATCAGGCACCGTGGCGGACGTTTCCTAGTTCCCCGGCTACTCACACCTTGCCGCTGCAGCCACGATGGGCTGTTCGTTCGTTTGATCCTCTCCATCCAGTCCTTCCGTCCGAACATAGACGGCTTGCGCATTTGGCTGGGCGACCCAGGGTCCATATCCTGTAGCATGTCGACTTTCGGCGATTCTGGCTGCATGTCCGGTTCCATGTTCCTTTCTACAGCAAATCCCGGAGTATGCGGTATTTCAAAGCCGGTGGCCAAGGCCTGAGGCAAGAATGACGATGTTGGCGGACTGTCATGGGGATCATGAAAGATGGGCATGGTTGTAACAGATTGTTGCGATAGACAGCATGAGTACAAAGATTTGACAAAGTATCAGAGAATAGTGGCGGGTTCGCGCGCGCAAAAGACGTGGAGCACTGAGATGGCAGGTCGTAAGGATGGCGGAGACGTCAGGTCAAGCGGTTGGAGCACCTGCTGGCCCGGCGAATGATATGAGTAAGAGTTTCCAGTTTAAACGGGGTGCGCTGGCTCCAGTGGGCGCTTCATTGTACAGTCATACTGCCCAGTTTTAGGACGAAACAGCGTGGAGCGCCCCAGTTGAAGGTGCGGAGAGGAGGGACGCAGGGACCGGGACAGATGACGCGCTGTGATCTTTGTTACAAGACGGAAAGTTCCTAATCGCTGCTGATAAAGTCGCCCATGCCGCCGGACCGGTATTGGCCGACGCAGCATGTCACACGACGAAAAAGAACACACTGCTCATCCGGGTGTTCCTGCACGTCCCCGCGGGCTGCGTCTTTGCTGGTGCATAGTTGCGATGGTGCACAAAGCTGAGGCGTGAGTGCAGGACGGCCGCGGTGGTGAAGACCATGTGACTGGCTCTAGATCGCGCCCCACTTTGCCAAGGCTGAGAAAGTCGGCGCGCGTTTGCGACAATCTGCATACCGCGACTCCCAACTTTCTCAACACAACCACAGCCGTCGATATGGCAGTCAAACGGCCGCATGAGGGAGACGCAAAGTCTTCCGTGAAAAAGCAGAAGCAGAAGGGTCGCTTCGACATCGGTCCCGCAAACTTACCCGATGGCACCCATAGACGGAAGAGTAGGTTTTTATCAACATTCTTCACGCATAGATTTCTCGCGGAGGAGGGATTTAGACAGGCGTATCGCGGGAGTCTTCAGCACCTACGTTTGCTGGCATCGCATATACACTTCAACTGCTAATTGGGTACTCAGTCGAAAAGATCAAGAAAGGCCTTATCACCAAGGCAAAGCTGAAGAAGCAGTATGCAAAGCTCAAAGCCCGCGAAGAAAACGAAGAGACGACACCGCGCAAGTCTGTCTACGACCGCGAATCTGCCAACGACGACGAAGACGACGATGAGGAGCCTACCGAACCCGTCCAAGAGCCCACCTTGGAGCCACACCCCGATCGCGTAGCGATGCTGGAAGAGAAGTCGCCCGAACCGGAATCCACACAGACTTGGGAGAGGCGACAGCGACGAGCTCGACCACAGCCATTCTTGAAAGAGACAGAAGTGGCGCGAAAGAAGAGGGAGGAAATAGAGGCGCGGCAAAAAGCCAGAGAGGAGGCGGACAAGGAGCGCGCAAAAAAGATTGCTGAGCGTGAGCGCTTCAGGAAGACCATGGCCAAAGCTAGGGGACCCAATGGCCAGAGGAAGCTCGGACGAGGGAGCACAGTTCTGCTTGCGAAAGCGCAGAGACTCATGGGCAAGACCTGAAGCATCGTCATCCGATAGCGACGCTACTATCCCCAGCTCCGAGGGATGATACGTCTGCGTCAGCCGACGCGTGCGCGCGCTCTTGTCAACATCTACGCACTCAATCCAGTGCTGGAGACACCGCTCCGCTTTACAACGAACACGGTTTCGACCCGTTCACTACGATGCAAGTATTGCGCTTCCCGCAGGTTGAACATCATAGTGGCCAGTGGATCGGAACGCATGTCGGGTGGCTATGATCTAGCCGTCGTTATAGGCACATGCTTGCTCAGAGAGAGGAGCAGCTTATTTACACAAGATACAATAGGCCAGACTCTGTGACGAAGCAGTAGTGCTACAGACATTCTGGATCAGGTGCACAGCTTCTTACCGAGAAAGCACCGTTGAATCATCGAATCAATTCAATGTACATTGCATTCTTTCTTACATCGTTCGATATCACCTTGCACCAATGCGGTTGTGTGATGTTACTTGTTCAGCCTTACCCCTCAGCCCTTGCACGAGGAGCGGTAGACCCGGACATAACCTAAAGCGATCGAGCGATAAAAGCGCGTTGCTTAATCAGTACACACCAGCTAGTTATACGAATGAGGGTCGCTGCGTTTGGTGTGTTGTGGGAGTGCGGAGTAATCGGCAACTGCCAAATGTGGCTGACGGTACCTGCCGAATGGAACGCGATCCACGCGCTAGAGATGAACGCTCTTCCCAGCCTCGCTCTCACTTCCTAGCATGTACCTCTCACGACCTCCTACGTGAACATACACGAGACACGAATAGTCACCTCTTCACCGGAATGCGTTCAATTGATCTGACTGCCGATTTCCGTCTTCGCCACCGCTGTAATCGCCTCCCTGGTCCGGTCGTACCAGCAAGACTGCGGACTGACCGCCAGGAGTAATCTTCGCCTCCAACTGAACGAGCTCGTTCCAATGGCACGACACGATACAGCAACACACTCTCCGTCTGAGATCTTAGCGGATCTTCGAGCGCATGGCGCAGACTATCACTAGAACATTGCGGTATTAACTCCCTCTTCGCTTGATAGTAGTGGCGGGATGTCAGCAGCAGAGACAGCTATCACGCATATCGCAACCTTCTCTTCGCCGATTATATGCGGCTATCAGATGGCTTAGACTGTTCCAGAGATCTGTTCGGCTGCTTTTCCGAGATGATCAGCGTTGGCCCATATTGGACTAGAGCACAGCCACCTAGTCACGTTTTTGAAACCACCTCGAAATTATCGATGGATGGACTTCATCTTTCGGCGTCTGAGATACTAACGTTTCGCAAGGCATTCACCGTATGATAGATCTCCGAATTCTTGTGTCGACGCGAGTTCAGCGAACTTCCCACCATTGAGCAGAACAGGCCCACAAAGGGTCAAAGCAGGCCTTTGAGCAACGAGTGGCTGTTACACCAGGCACGCTATGCAATTTGCTGTTCCTAGCGACTACATGGCATATCTTGTGGAGCAATAAGCTTATTCAAACCGGCTGCTAAGTTCTGAAGTTCCTTGAGGTTAGCGGTGTATGGTCCATGCAGCCTTACCTACAGGGACCTAGCCAGTGCGGGAATCCTTTGGGGGCTGTACACACCACCTGGTCAACGGCCCGTCAGACGATGCACTAACCATACACGCACGCGTCATGGCCTGCAAAGCCTCGTCCAGCTGCATGGAACATGTTCGTTACTGGGCTGTTTCGAAAACGCTGTAGGTTGCGCCGTCCACTAGCCGAACCGAGAACCACCGTCGAACATTACAGCTTGGCATACAGCTTGTTTGCCGTCTCTCCCTCCGGAAAATCCAAGGACCTGGTTTGCCAAGGCGCTGAAACACTATTATGCTAGCTTTCCGCTCGAGGTCGTCTCTTCACGATGTCTACATTGCTGATAGTCTTGCACTCTTTACTTGTACTAAGTCCTTGGGTCACTGCTACTTGGTTGACATAACTCAAGCTTATTGCAGCATCTTCAGACAACTCTTGTCATCTCTTTTGACCATATTATCCTATCTGCCGTCCATTGCAAGAGATCTCTGATTGTATTCGGATATCCTAGAGTACATCATCGTCATCTGTTCCCAATCACTATGGACAATTCCATTCGCCAGCCTCGAAAGTGGTCTTTGGCGGAAGATCAGAAACTCCGCGAAGAAGTGGAGGCCCAACGTAAGTTACACAGTTGCATGAGACACAGTCCATGTGGTATTCTATGCTCCGCAGCTATGCAACAGTCTCTGCATATCAGTTTTCTCCAAGCAAGCTAACCAAGCATCATTAGTCGTGGAAGGAGAAGTCAAGGATTGGTATGTTGCTTTTGCCCCACTCAAGCCCACAACTAACAGTGCCCGTAGGTGCAGAATCGCCGATAGCCTCCCTGGTCGAACGAACAAAGATTGTCGAAAACGGTGGCACAACTCAGTAGCAGGAGGTCTCAAGAAGGGGCAGTGGTCAAAGAGTGAAGATCAGTTGCTCTCAAGAGGGGTACAACAATACGGCCAAAAGTATGGCTCATCAATCGGAAGCACATACTCGTACTGACTCCACTATCAACAGATGGACAGTGGTCGCAAGCTGTGTCGGAAGTCGTAGCGCAGACCGTAAGTACTACGATGTATTACTACTTCGTTGCTGACCATCCCTTAGAATGCGCGAAGCGGTGGCAGCAGTCACTTGATCCGGATCTTGATCGAAGCGAATGGCGCGACTTGGACGTCAGTGACAGCAATCTCACGGACAGAAACCGCCTTCGGCTTGCTGACAGGTGCTGCGTAGGACACAACACTCATTGACGCAGTCCAGCGACTCGGACGACACTGGAAAGACATCCAACGTGAACATTTTCCAGGAAGATCAAAGAACGATATCAAGAATAGGTACGTTGTTCACTACTGCTTGTCCCACCCTCTCCTAATATTGTCAAGATATACGGTCCTCGTGCGAAGATACCAGAACCAGGGCATCACCCTTCCCAATGCCCCAAGTTCTCCATCCGACTCTGGTACACCGGCCCTGTCGAACTATGCCGAGGACGATGACTACCTCTCCCCCAATTCCCACATGTACGATACGTTCCTGTCCACACCATCACACGGATCAAGTCGCCATTCCTGGTCAAGCTTCGACAACGACGCATACTCAACATGGTCATCTCCACAAACATACGCCATGCCTACCGCTACAGCCGACCGGATTTTACATCATTCATCGGTCACTCCGTCTCAGTATCTATACACTCAGCCACCACTGGGCTCCAACATGCCTGCCACATGGGATCAAACGTCGCCCTACGCACATCACCCCTCACCATCACTGCACACCGGTGCACCCACGAGCCCATCAGTGTATGGCTACAGCCCATATCCGGTCGCCCAGCAACCAATAACGCCCCACAACATTGCTTACACAGCCTCCACGGAGCGAGCAGCATATGCCACGATGCCGAATTACTCGCCACCTACTGCATCAGGTCAGCGGGTTTACGACCAAAGCGCATCGGCAATGTACCGTGACCCCAGACATTCACAACATCCTTACTATCAGTCGTGAGGCTGTGCAACATGTATGTTAAAGTGTATAGCTTGGCAGTTACTTAATGGTCAGATCTGGCAAGTATTTGATAGGTCGAGTTCTGAGTCTCGTCACACATATGCAATGAAGATAATTTTCCGCCCACAAAGCCTCGACCAATCTTTCGTTTCACCGAGTGTCAATTGCGTTTCAAACACCACCTTGCGAACCTTGATGCCAACTACTGCAGGTTCTTTAGACGCGAACGGGCCTAACCACGTGACAAACCCGGGAGTGAGGACCCCTGATTGGCCGCCTAAACCCAGCACAGCCTCAACCCCGAGTACAAGTCGGACGCCCCATCGCGTTAAGGTTACCCAACCAAGTAAAGTGCGCATCTACGGAAGAAAAAGAAGAACGAAAAGACAGGATCGGTTACCCAGTCGAGTCAAAATAGTACCGTCCCCACTATCACGAATCAGGGTTGTTGCGCGGTGGGCCACGCCCGGGCTGTTTCTTTTTCTCTGCCTTGAAGACAGCCTGAGCCGTTGCAGGCCAGCACGCGCATCAATACACCAGTGATCACCTACATGCTAGCTAGCGTCAGCTAATGTAGAGTGTCCTGATCCGCGTCCATGCCCGCTGCACGATGCACGATCTCGTCGCCTGGACCGCTGTTTTACCTGCCTCATCCGTTGCGCGACGCGTGTGACTTCCTCTCGTTTACACACGCGAGTCCCTGCAGCATTTGGCGCTTGTAGATGGTATCATGCCATTCTGCTTCGCTTGGGCGTTGTTGGTGTTGAAAGTTTTCGTCACGATACACCGTGCGCGTGGTGAAGGCTGATGGCTTGCCGCACAGCGGCAGGTACCGTTAGTATGGAACCTTGAAGTTAACCACCTCCGTGGAACGGCGTCCCGTCCCTGTCGATCTGTGTCTTCGATGCACGGCATTCATTGTTCTTCACATTGTCGGACCGGACTTTGGGTCTGGATTCAGTTGGTATGTTCCTACGTTGCTGCCTTGAGCAGGCCTCGTCACCGCCGCATACTTGGACCTGGTATCGTAGGAAGGGGTACGCGTTCCTGCATAGAAAGAACGTATATTTGGGCACATGAACACTCTGGAAGGATGATATGATGTCAAACTTATGATGTCAAGTACCCGCTGGTGTGGCAGACTTGCATTCGGTATCGCCCGTTGAAGTATTCGGCGATGCTTGAATGAAGACTACGTGTTGGCGTGGGTGATGGCACCGGGCTAGTATGCATGATGAGGTCGGAGTGGCCGTGTTAAAGCTATGCGGACGCAAGGGCACTAGACTCTACACGAAGGGAAGGCGTCTACCTCCGTCACTCGTCAAGGGCGATACCCGCGTTAGGCGAGTGTAGTCTACAGGTCGTCACTCGATACTACGAGACTAATGCTCGCTGCTGTGACAATCTCTCCCCTTACTCTTCGGAGAAGACCGCCTGACAGTGTCGTTAATGCGATTTTGATAGTAAGAAGGGACGTACACTCACGTACCCGATGTCAATACCGAGTGAGCAAAAGTCTCCACATTCCGTCACTTCTCCAAGCACTGTATCAGAAACTCCACACCCCACACCCCACATGTCCTGGAGAAAATTCAGGCAGCTACATTACTATGAATAGACAGACTACGCGGCACGTTCCCCTAGATGCCCAAAACCCACGTACCGAGAGCTACATACCGCTGTTACATTACATTACAATACGTGAAACTATACAGCGGGACCCAGGTGACCACACTTCGGGGACTCCGCCTCGCTGTTTGCCTTACCAAGAGCCAGCGGGATTGTGAGACGCGTGGCATCTGTAGGTTAAGCTTTTCGCTTAGCCGTGAGACGGTCCGCTTTGGACGGCCTGATGTGTTCTTCGGAGGGCTTAATGTATGGATGTCTTCCGGCGGCAGAATGGGACGTGTTGAGATTAGCTTGGGTCATATGGGCGGAGGAAAGACTAGCGTGTTGTCAAAGTGATAATCCCTTGGAACATCCTCAGAGATGGTTATGTAATTACAGGTCCTTTCTCAAACTAGCTCCTGACATCATATTCATCATTCTCTTCGTCTCCTCTTCGTTGGGCTCTTTCCACCAGTCGTAGAAGTTGACAGGCTCGAAGCCTCTGTCACGCCATTGCTGCACCTGCTCCGGACCGATTTGATGCCAGGGCACGCCGATGTCTTTTGACACCTGGTCTTTGACATAGTTCTCCACGGTGTGACCGATACCTCTGTCATCGTTCCACTTGGCCAAAAAGAACAAGTCGAACATCTTCTGCTGCTCAGTCGTTCGTCGTTCGACTGCTTTCTCCATGCCACGCACCATATTTTTCTTGTTGTAGGCTTGTGGTTTCATCCAATCATTCACCTTCTCGTAGTCAAGCTCGAAGCCGCCTTGGTCGTATGTGGGTGAGCCCTCGCGTCCCTTGTCATGGCATACATACAGTTTGTGAAAATGTGCGAAGGGGTTCAGCCGACATTCATCTCTGAACATTGTGTTCTTAAGGGCGACGTTCAGACGTCCAGGAGGCTTCGTGGGCTTGGGTATGTAGAAGCTGTCGCTGACCCAATCTTTGATCTCTTGGGGCGCACTGATGTCATCCCAGCGCGGGCGTGCCCTGTGGCCCGGAGTTGGTCTCGGGTCACGTAGTTTGGAACGATCGTAATCATATTCCAGATCTGGTGTCGTGAGTCGTGGTTTCTGCTGTTCCAGATCTTCTTCTTTCGGTTGCTCTTCCTTCTTTTCGGCCCGTACCGATGTAGCTGCTCCCTGTCTTTCGCTCGTTCGGCGTTGCTTCGCAGATGCTTCATTCTCAGATCTCACTTTCCTCTTCTGGCCGGCAGATTGTGTCGAAGACTCAGCGGTTTGCGCTCCAGACGCAGTGTCTCGCGGCTGTGTCCCCTGATCTTGATTGGCATCGCGTTCCGCATCAGCGCCACTGCTTGCGTCGCCTCGCGTCCGTGGCATGGTCGAACATCGAATGAACAAGGATTGAACTGAGAGGTAGCGAATTTACCGATAAGACTTTGGGCACGGAGTTGTTCCAGTGATTCCAAGGGCTCGACTTGACGCGTTGCGCGACACAGCTTGATGTTAGGATGACGTCACGTGTTTACCACTTGCACGAGAGCGATCGGCGCAATCGCAACTACATCGGAACGAATCCTCGGTCGACCCGAGAATACTGACCGTCTCTCGGCCAAAGCGCACCATCTTGTATCATCCTCGATCCAGGCGATGCAGGTCCAGAAAGCCTCCAATTCTGCCTCGTATCCAGACCACTAAGCGGCACATTATCGACGTTTCAAATATTACCCGTCGGATCGGACCCCTGAGTACACCACAACGCACTGAGCACCGAACGTGTGTGCATCACAAACTTACATGCATCGAGGATGATACTCAACCGAGGGAGGCTGGTCCAACGTCCGTTAGTAAGCTCGTATACATCCCTCAAGCTCATGCACAATGAGCTTATATGCGCCTCTATGAGACCATCTTCGTGCTTCGCCACCGTTGGCACGCGTCTCTTGTCGCAATACAGTAATGCGGGAGGCATACCTCGTCTCTTTCTAGAATCTGTGCCGTCCGAGATTGACAAGGGTGTTCGATGGAGCGGTGTCGTGCATATTACTTGCATGTTTTGACTAGGCAGCAAAAACATGCCTTACAAGGCAGAACCGTGATGCGCAAACGACTTGTAAGGTTTTGGAGCCATATTTATTGTTTCTGATCATTGCAGTAGTCCTGGTGCTAGGTTCAGCAGCGATGCACACACTGCGATGGCGCACCCGAACTGTAGCGTGAGCAACTAAAGAGCTTGTCTTTTCCGTATACCGGATGGATGGGTGGCTGGTTGGCAAAGGCGGGGTTTTCGGATATTGGCAAAATCTGATAAGTCCCGACCCGCATACCCAAACAAAATTTTCCATCGCGATCCAAACTTCACATCCTTGGACTCTGTACGATTGAGGGAGCTCTGAGCTTTCATCATAACAATATATACGTTGCGTTCGGTCGAAGTTCCATCGAAAGCAACATCAGCCCGGCTAGCTCAATCGGTAGAGCGTGAGACTCTTAGTTATCACGTCCTAATAGACACGATTGTATCAAATCTCAAGGTTGTGGGTTCGACCCCCACGTCGGGCTTTCTTTTTGCTATGCTGTCGTCCATTGCAGTCCCGAACAAGAGGTGTTGGTGTTGTGGCCGTGAAGGACATTTTTTGGACTTTTGCACTAACCGACCCACAACGACTACAAATCGCAATAAGAGTACTACGGCAGCACGTAAAGCTGTTCATCAACTCGAGCTTTCGTTTTGAAAGTTCTCGCCCAGCACAAGATCCAAAAAGAAGGATTGAAGTGATGGTGGTGGTGAAGGACTTTTTTGACCAGACACGCAAATCATCCACCCTGACCAAACCCCAAGATGACGAACTATCTAAAGAAGCCCTCTCTTGTTTCTACCACCCAACGAACAGCTCTTGCTTATCTCGAATATGGACGTTGTAATCCCTGGGTTCGTTTGGCGGTTGCTTGATTTCATCCTTACATAAGTACCTAAGCATATCACGCCCTGTCAGTCATACGAACCTGGCAGGCGTTTGCAAAGGTATTAGGGAGACAATGCAGCAGTCTTCAGTGAAAAATTCTGTCAATTTGACTGGGGAAATGACAGTGTAATATGGCCCAGTCTCCCCAACACGTAGATGTCCATGTCGTCGGTAAACCTCTTAATTCGCCCATGTACCCAACCCTCGACGAATGCGTAATCTGCAAACTGGAGCGATTTCAAGGTTGCGCATCATGCGCTAGCCGGATTGGGACTAGGGGACGGGCCAGGCGGTGCTGATGCCGATGCCGCCTGTACAGCCATCACGAATAGGGAAGCCTTGCACTGCCCTACATAAACATCATTCGCATTGGGAATATGAAGCGCAACTTATTCCTTCTGGCTATCATACTGTCAGCCTTCAATAACTCCATCGATGGCTGATCGCTGGTCTTTAAAGCCGCCCATCCTGTTTGTCAGCCGCTGCGTCGCACATCATCTTTCGGAGATTACTTTGATCATAGACGCAGCCTGATGACCTCGGTATGCCGGTCACGCAGAGAATCCGACAGCTAACAAGGTAAGTAGTTTTCTAGCTATGGCGACACAATCGATGGTCGCTCACTAACACCAAACTCGTTAGCTATGGTCACGATGCAGTGGCTGGTTTGGTTGATTACAGGAGAAGACGCAGGATCAAGCGAAAAGGGCGCTGCTCCACCACTCCGGATTTAATACATGCTCAAGGAATTACCAATGGACATGCGGGAACGTATCGATATCGACATCTTCGAGCGACACACTCAATCAGATTACTTCGGTTTTTGCCTGGCTCCAGTGATAGACACATCCGCTGTACCATCGAAGAATACGACTCAACGTCAGAGACCATTCCGTACTTAGCGCTCTCCTACGTCTGGGGGGATGCAACGATCCGGAATGCCATCTCGTTAGACGGCGAAACTGCATACATCACGTCGAATCTCAGAGAAGCTCTGGCACATCTAGGGAACGCGTTCCCATATTCCAGCTTCTGGATTGATGCAATCTGCATCGATCAAAATAACGCAGAGGAGAGAATGCACCAGGTAGCACAAATGAGAGCTATCTATAGCAATGCGACTGAGGTAGTAATGTGGCTAGGTCCAGGACATCAAGACATCGAGAATTTGAGCTTGGTCATAGATTCTCATCGCGCTCAATGCGGCTTTCTAGACCAGCCGGTCACGGGCTGCAGCCTCAAGTTGGACGACGATATCACAAACGCGATAGATCGCCTGATAGGCCGAACGTACTGGTCTCGAGTGTGGATCATCCAGGAAGTCGTTGTTGCCAAGAACGCCAGAATCATGTGCGGTACTACATTTCTGAATTGGGACTATCTTACGCAATTTCTGAAACTCATCCGCTCCGGACACATCGAGTCTGATTGGAGCGAAACGGTGCTCTATACGTTCAAATTTCATACATGGTCAATGCCCATGCTTCGTCTAGACAGCTGGTCTAAGAGTTCCACAAGCCTGGCGCAGGTCTTGGACTGGTCTGCGTCAAGCCTTGCGACCGATGGTCGCGACAAGGTGTACGCACTTCTTGGTCTAGTCGCCACAGGGGCTGGCAAGCTTATTTCGGCCGACTACACATTCTCGGCATGCAACGTTTATTGTCTCGCCATTCGCGCCATGTCGGTGGATTGCGATCTCGAACAGCGCAAGTACGATTTCCGTCGGGAGATTAATACCATAGAAGAAAGCTGCTTAAGCAATGCTCTTCTGCGCGAGCAGGCGTCAGCCACTAGAGAACTGCGCCAAGTCGGACGGCGATCGAAGAAGTCCTTGTCTGCTTCATTGAATCACTCAGGTAAGGACACGTGGAATCTCGACACAGGATGTGATGGAATAAGTTGTGGGAGTAAGACCGTAATGCGGCGCTTTGCAAGATGGCTCAGTGTTCCAGATCTGACGTTCCGTTCGGATGCGAATTCGTTTACTAGCTTCCATAGCGAAGCGCCGCAGGAACTCATTCCCCTACACGAATTCTTCACCGGCAGTAGCGCGAAACGACTACTCCAAAAACGTAATCAGACCACGGCCAATGGAAATGTGATTGCGAAGTACAAGGTCCTTGCTAGACTATCTATGAGCCTTCATCTGGTTCCGACTTAGTACAGTTGCGTTGTTGCTTTGTAGCTCAGCATTTGTCTCAACTTAGAAGCTTTCCTCTAAAAGCTGCATCACTCCAGCACATCACAAATACCCTCTCCACCCCGCCCACTCAACCCCCTTCTTCAACACCACCCCAACAACCCACGACTCAACCACACTCAAAGCCCCCACCACAACCGCCGATGCCACCGCTCCTATACTCTCCCAGCCCTTCTTCCCAAACCAACACTGCAAATCAAGAACCACCGGTGAATGAACCAAGAAAGCCGCATAACTATACTTCGCAACATCCACGGCCCCAACCGTCCAGCGCTTGCTCAGAAACGCCAAACGCGGATCGTAGAAAGCCTTCAATAGGAGCGAAGCGAGGGTCAAGCCAGCGAATTCGTTGAAGAACGCGTAGAGGAAGGCGAGTAGGTTTGGGCCGCCGAAGATGAGAGGGACGATCTCGGGGAAAGACATGCCGGAGTCGAGTAGGGACTTGATGTGGAAGAGACTGAGGGAGGCGATGGAGGCGGTGATGCTGCCGACGATGCGTAAGGTTGATGAAGAGATGGCGTTTTGCAGTGAACGCCCTGAGCGGTGGATGTAGATGCCGGCGGTGTAGTAAGTGACGTATTGGGATACATACGCCAGCTGGAGGAACAAGGGCCAGAAGGCTCGGCCTACGGGGTAGTGAAGTCGGATCAAGAAGGATGACGTCGATATCAGGCTTAGAGTAGCCAGCACATGGGTCGTACGGAAGGGCTTCGGTTCCTCTGGGGCGTTGGTAATATCCACTTGAGATGGAGTTTTCGTCGACGGTGCGCTGGCCTTGACATCGCGAGAGCGAGCTCCAGAGTCCGCTTTCTCGCTCGCCAGCAGCGGTTCAGTACGCGCAAAATACCCCGGCAGCACCCCAGCAAACACCGCATCAAAGATCAAAAGCGTAGCACAATACCAGACCGGCCCTCTAATCCCCCTCACGCTCTTGACCCCCTCCCAAACCTCCCTCCCCACCACGCCCCATCCTTCTCCCTTCAACCTCCCCGCCAATATCCCCCTCACGAAACCCCCCCTCACTAGACAAAACACAAGCGTCGGCACACCCAACCTCCTCCACTTCTCGCGCAGAAACTGCGACCTCGTCTTCTTCTTCGCGGCGATGGAGGAAAAGTACGCGGAGACAAGGAAAAAGGAGCCCATGAAAAAGGTCTGGTTTGTGACGTTGAAGAGGACGAGGGCGGGGGAGCTGCTGGGGTAGTAGCGGGGGGAAGTGTAGGGCCAGGGGCCTGCACCACCGTAGGGGGTGGAGGCGTGGTGCAGGATTACGAGGGCTGTTAGGCTCGTGCGGAAGTTGTCTAGGGTGTGGGTGCGTGGGTTGGCCATTTTGGAAGAATGGTATCTTGAGAGGTGATGTGGTATCGAAGCAAGTCATTCTAGGAGGCGATTGCTGTCTCTTTTATCTTGCTCCATTCCATGTATGTGGTCATCATTTTGGTGGTGCATGTAAGCAGCGGAGTATACACGCGTGAAGAAAAGTGGGGCTGGTGCCTTGTCGTGTAAGGCGGAATAAACGAGGCGGAATGATTGTGGCACGGAGTGATGATAGGCCACAGCCCAAGCGCTATCTTGCCTTTTAGTATCTTCCTATCATCAAGCGAAGTAGCCGTTCATTTCCATTGCGACTACCAGCCGCTCCATTTGATTCTCTTCTGCAGTGCCTCTTCCTTTGCCGTAGCCCTGTTTGCCTGTCAGGCCTCGGCACACACTCAAGAACACCCGTACTTTTCCTCTGAGTTTCGCGTAAAGACCTTTCACACTTTCTTCCGTCTGTTGTGTGTTGGCATTCTGCATCTTGGCGAAGAGAAGGATGTGGTCGAATATTTCTTCTACAAGGACCATGATCTTGCGCTGTCGTTTCCGGAGTAAGAGTGCAAACAAGATGCTGTCCAGGCATCTCTCGTGCGAATCGCGCAGAGATGCAACACCTTCCGTGACACGCACTCCGAGCTCGCCGGCTGCGTCTTCCTCATTTAACCTGGTCTCGACCGTCCGAACCAAGGTATCAAAGTCGTCCCACGGCTCTGCAATGCCGGTCTGGAAGACGTAGTTGGTGAGCGTTATCACGAAGTGATACGCCTCGGTCCTGAAGTAACGAGCGTTGCTATCTGCATACTCGCGTGGTAGATGCGAGACGACGAACAGCATGCGCAGAAGCCGCAGCAGGAACTTGAAAATGTAGTCGTACTTGTCTAGAGAGGTACTCGTGATCACTAGATTTAGCGGGGCTGGCGCTACGTACTGTAACCGCAGGAAGTCGAGAGCATGTAATGCATCAGGGTCCATGACCTTTTCTTGTTCCGCCTCGGTGAGGTTGCGAATAGCGAAGTTGAGCTGTCCGGGAAGCTCATCGTTATCCCTGTTGTTGAGAAGCGCGGTAGGCGCAGCTACAGCCTCATCGCCCTGTGTTGACTGGTACAGCGTCGAGGAATAGTAGCTCTCGCTGAGAACGCCTCGCAATGCCAATCGAAGCTCCGAACTCGCTGGTGGCCATGAAGTTCGGGACCCTAGTTGCAACCCCATGTGTACTCCACTGCGCATCTTTCCTTTGTGACGCTCGGCACTCTCGCGGTCGGGGTCAAATAGGGCGGTTGCTAGTAGGGATGAGAAGACACCATCACCTAGAAGGTGGTACTGCCGCTGCAGAGATAGGTGAAGTCGCAGCTGATGTGACCGAAAGAACAAACGGATCGTGGCTGCGTTGACTAGTTTCGCTTGTGCGGTGATGAGTGGGCGGAACGACAGTGTAGATGCTAAAGACATGGGTGGCGAGAACGTATTGGATACAGCCTCGCCATCTTCACTTGTTCTCTCTAGTGTTTTCTCTATGAGAAGCTGCAGTTCGTCTGGCAGCGCTTGACACGACCATTTCGGTGTGTCATCCATGCGCCGGATAGAGTCCTCAAAGTATCGATCGAGATCTTGAGAGTTAGTCGGGACCTCAGTCGCAAACTCTGGTGCTGTGTGAGTAGAGAGAGCGGCTGTCTCGTCATGTGATCCTGTGCTGAAAGCGAGCAATGCTTGTCGGAGCCTCTCTTCGTACGCTTTTGCCTTTGACGCTAGTATCTCGATATCTTGCCATTGAAAGCCCCAATCCATGTCCGGAGGCTGAACTGCTAGCCCATCAAGGCGAGCCAGGGGGTGATAGGGATGCTGTAATTTCAAGAAGCGAAGACTGTGACCTATTTCGAATATCGTATTGCCG